CCGCCCCCTAACGTCCCCTCGCCCTCCACACTCCTCCCCGTGGCGCCCACGTGCCCCCTGCGGCCTCACGCCCCCAAGCCCGCCACGCCCCACCTTTGCACCCCCCACGCCCTGTCCGGGGCTCCGCACCCGGGCCGTAAGCCTCTCCAATCAGCCCCGCCCGCGTCTGCCCGTGGCTCCCCATCCCGTCGGCGTCCCCGTGCCTCGCCCTGCATTCCTATCCGCCTCCCGCGTGCAGGGCTACCTACCCCTCCCTGCTCTTGCCAGATGCCTGGGACGTCCCGTCCTGGAGAGGGAAGGACTAGTATTTTTAGGGCTAATAATACCCTCCTTTCGCCAGCTCGTGTACGGGTGTGTGTGTGTTGGATGGGGGATGGAGGTATTCTTTCCAGTAGTAACACAACAACTAGAGTAAAATCCTTTAGCAGTGGTGCCCGAAGTGTTCACAGGGTTGCTGGTGGTAGTTATTTCGGGAAGAGGGTGTTTCTAAATTTTCTTACAATGAGCACACTATCTTCTTAAATTAAGCTTATTTGTCTTTTTTTAATGAAACATTAGTTCCCATTTATTGATTTTTGGTTCTTTTAAAATTTCATTTTAAAAATTGAGATACTATTCGTATACCGTAAATTTGGCTCTTTTAAGTGTACAATTTAGTGGTTAATAGTAATACTCACTAGTTTGTGCAGCCATCGTATAAATTCTACGTTTCATCACCTCAAAAAGAAATCCAGTTGGCAGTCACTCCCCTCTCCCTTCCCCGCCAGGCTCCCCCACCACCCCGCAACCACCAATCCACTTTCTGTCCCTGTATTTGTATATTCTGGACATCTCACATAGATGGAATTAGACAATAGGTGTCCTTTTGTGACTGGCTTCTTTCACTTTGCATGCTTTCAAGGTTCATGCACATTGTAGCTTTCTTTCTTTTTATGACCAAATAATATTCTGTTGTATAGATGCACCACATTTGCTTTTCAATTTATCAATTGACAGCCACTTGGCTATTATGAATAATGTTGCTGTGAACTTTCACTTACAAGATTTTGTGTGGGCATGTGTTTTCAATTCTCTTGGTTATATATAATACCTAGGAAAGGAATTGCTGGGTTATATGGTTACTCTAAGTTTAACTTTTTGAGGAACTGCTAGACTGTTTTCCAGTGTGGCTGCGTTGTGTTACAGTCCTACAACAATGTAGGAGGGTTCCAGTTGCTCCACATTTCTCCTAACACTTACTATCTCTTTTTGATTCTAACCATTTTAGTGGCCTGAAGTGGTGTCTCATTGTGGTTTTGATTTGCATTTCTCTAATTAATAATGATGTGGAACATCTTTTCATGTGCCTGTTGGCCATTTGCTTACCTTTTTGGAGAACTGTCCAGTTCCCTCACCTGTTTTTAAAAAATGTTTGCTTTTTTTGGTTATTGAGTGCTAAGAGTTCTTTATATATTCTAGATACTAGATTCTTCTCGCATACATGATTTTCAAAAATTTTCGCCCATTCTGTGGTGTGTCTTTTTACTCTCTTGATAGTGTACTTTGAAGCACAAACGGTTTTAATTTGATGATGTCTGATTTGCCTATTGTTTTCTTTGGCTGCTCTGCTTTTTGTGTCTTATCTAAGAAATTATTGCCTAACCCAACATCACGAAGAGTTACAACTATGTTTTCTTTCTTCCCAATATGACAGTTTTGGTTACTGTAGCTCTGCAGTAAGTTTTGAAATGAGGAAGTGTATTTTCCTTTTTCAGTATTATTTTAGCTGTTTGGAGCCCCTTGCAATTTTGTATCAATTTAAAGATCAGCTTTCCCATTTCTGCAGGGGGTATGGGGAGCCAGCCAGAATTTTTATAGGGATTGCATTTAATCTGTATATAAACTGGGGGAATAATACTATCCTGATAATATTAAATCTTCTTATCCACTGTGATGTCTTCCCATTTATTTAGGTCATCTTTAATTTCTTTCAATGATGTTATGTAGTTGTCAGTGTCCATTAGTTTATACATACTAAAAAAGTACCTAAAATATAAAATCAAATAATTATAAAGCACATAGTCACCCTGAGTAAGAAGAACATTTCCAGCACACCAGACTGTCCCCCAAACCTTTCTACCTCCTTAGTCATTTCCTTGCTTTTTATTAATTCATTCATATATGTATGTATCTCTGAACAAAGCATAGTTTGCCTGCATTGAACTTTATATAAATGAAATCACACTATTTTTTTTGCCCAATATTATTTTTATGGGATTCAGCCATGTTCTTTGCAGGAAGCTGTTACTCATTCATTTGCATCACTGTATAGTATTCCATTATATGTATAATATATTAACCCAGTCTACTGCTTTGGACATTTGGGTTGTTTGCAGGTTTTGGTTAATACAAGCAATGCCAGAATGAGCATGTATCTTTAATTTTTATTTTTAATTACTAAAAGCAATTCTCAGCAGCTCAAGCAAAGCATACTCATGGACTTTGCAGAGAGCTGAAGAGCAGCTGCTTTCCTTCGTAGTCACTTCAGAAGGCCCTGACCTCCTCCTGAGGGGACCCCAGACCAGGAACTCACCATGAGAGAGCTTGCTGTCAATGAAGCTTCTCAGCTTTTTACTGGCATGAGCAATTTTAAGTTTGGATTGTGCAACTGGCTCTGGGCTTCAGCACATGGCCCAGCAAAAGCCTGGAATGGACTCCCTCCCGAAGTTAAATCCCTCCAGGATTAAATGATCATAGTCATTTAATCCTCTGGATATTCTGGGGAGAAAGAGGGACAGAAGAAGTCTTCTGGAAGCTGCTCTGCTGCAGATCAAGCCTGACTATATCTTTCCTGCTTTGCTGAGATGAAAGCCTTCGCTCACTTCTCCAGGTGAGCATTTGGCTATTTTACTGATAATTTGGTCAGGAGATGGCTTGGTTTTATTTGCACTGGAAGACAACATTCAAAGAATATTCATACTTCCCACTATAAGGGGAAAAAATGGTAAAGACATGCAACGATCTAGCTTCAGATGGTTTAGACTTAAGCTTGAGGCTGGTTTTCCAGTCTGAACTCACTGATGTTGCCTGGATGGAGGTGAGAATCAAGCAGGAGGTGAGAAGCACTACTCCCAAGTTTCTGGGTGATCATGAGCTGCCTTAGTGTTCTCCACCAAAGGAAGCCAATAACTCCTGACACCCCACCCATCCCCACATTTCTCAATAGAGTTCCTGGGCTCTGCTGCTTCTATCCCACGGGCTGGTCCTCAAAGAACAGCAGACCCAGAGAAAACTCAGGCTTGGCTGCCACTGCCAGTTCCCACCCCATATGGACTGTGATATCCTATTAGACACGCGTTTCATTTTCAGTCCCTCAGCCCTCCCTTTCCTTCCTCCTCCATGGGGGGACTGGTAAGAGCTCAGATGGATTCTTTTGATCCCAAGTCAACTCTCTAGAGGCTGTGCCAAGCCAGCTGGCAGTCGTCTGCTGCTCCATGTCCAGTGTCCAAAGAGGCCATGTCCAAGGTCCTGGCACCCCACAACAGCCTCCTTTGCACTGCAGATGTCCGGCTGCAGAGCTGGGGCCCAGACCCAGAGAGGCCCATGACCAGAGAGGCCAGAGGTCCCAGGAGCAGACTGGCTTTGGCCTGCTTTTCCTCCTGCCTCCCCCCAGGAACTGGCACAAGATTCTTCTCCTCTGACAACTGCAAAAGGGGCAACAGTTTGGAGTCTCGAAATCGAGGAGCCCTGAATGATTTTCTGAGCTCAGCTACAAACTAATCAACAAGCCCCATGTGTGATTTTTAAAAAGGGAACATAAGAGGGACTTTTCCTCACATTGTTGGTAGGAATGTGAGCTGGCCACCTTTCTCATTTCCCTTTTTAAAGGTGAGTATGGCTCATCTTGTCATTTCCAGGTACACAGCAAGCAATAACAGTGGAAGAGGAACCTGGCCATGTGGGCCCCTTGCCGTACTCCCCACACCAGGAGGTTGTGCAACCTCTGGCATGTTCATGTGACCGTTGCGCCACACAAATGAAAAACCAGGACAAGACTGACCAGCCATGTTTCTGGAGTCGAGGGCTCCTCTGCGAGGGGCACCATCTGGTGGGTGGATTTTCCTAGGGAGACGCCCTCAGTCCTCTGTGGGGTGTGCCTAAACTCTCTCCCAACACTTGAGCCTCGCTCTCCCCACCCCAAACCCTGAAGGCTCTTGCTCCAGCTTGCTCCGTACTGTCCCTCCTGCCTGCAGAAACCCTACAACCCTGGTTCTGATGGGCTTTTAGGTTGCAGCAGCTCCCGGGGTCACTGCAGCAGAGCTGCAAGCTGCCCGGGTTGACTGAAGAGTAGCTAAGCCACTGAAGGGAAAGGCGATCTTCCTCTAAGCCTCTACTTGGGGCCTCACTCTTTGAATGGGCTGGCTTAAAGCACACTGCTGGCACCAGGAGAGGGCTTAGCATACACAGGAAACCCAGGTTCTGGGCCTGCTCCTCTGTCCTGGCCACGTCTGGTGGGCAGAACCCTGAAGACCTTCCACTCAGAGTTCCTGTCTCCTGATTATTTAAGTAAACGCGAATCTAGGTGTTTCTGTGAGGGGGTTCCGAGGGTGGAATTAAAGGTCTGTTACGGACTGAATGTTTGTCTCCCGACCCCCAAATCCCTAGATTGAAGCCCCAACCCTCAATGTAGTGATATTAGGAAGTGGGGCCTTTGGGAAGTAATTGGGCTTGGAGGAGGTCATATGGATGGAGCCTCATGATGGGACAGGGCCCCTTAAAGAGGAAGAAATACCACAGCTGTTTCTCCTTCTGCCACATAAGGACACAGCAAGAAGGCAGCTGTCCGTAAGCCAGGAAGCAGGCCGTCCCGAGGACCCCAACCAGCCGGCACCTTGATCTTCCAGCCTCCAGAACGGTGAGAAACCGGCGTCTATGATTTAAGCTGCCCAGGCTGTGGTATTTTGTTACACAGCCCAAACTAAGTCAGGTCCCACATTAAGTGGACTTTAAGACACAAAGATTATCCAGGTTGGCCTGACCCCATCAGAAGAACCCTCTAAAAGCATAAATTTTTCTTTGCCTGGTAGCAGAAGGGGAAGTTAGAGAAATCTGAAGAGTGAGGGAGATTCTGTGTGAGGGACATGCGGCCTGGTGATCCAGCCACCTGCTGCATGTCATGGGGGGCCTGTGAACAGGAAGGAAATGCAGGTGGCGGCTAGGATGACGGCCATCTGAACGAGCTGGGGAAGCAGCTGAGCAACAGTCGGTGTGTGAGACCCCGAGCAGGAGACCTGGTTGAGCCATGACAGACTTCTGACCTACAGAAACTGTGCAATAAACGGGTATTGTCTTCTTATAAGCCACCAAGTTTATGTAACTTGTTACACAGTGATAGCAAACTGTAACAGCACATGACCTAAAAGGGGCCACTTAATCTTTCTGAGCCTCCATTGCCTCATCCAGAAAATTCACAGGGCTGTTGTGGATAAGAGGCCATTGGGTGTGCAGACAAAGCCCTGGACTGGGGACCAGAGGGCCAGAATCTGCTACTTGTGCCATGTTGAGCAAGTCATGTCACTTAGACTCATTTTCCTCCCCTCTGCAATCCAGGCAACAGCAGCTATTTCTTCGTAACTGAGTAGTAGCCAGACATATAGCCACTCAACCAGATTACAGTTCCCAGAGCCCCTTGCAACTAGCTGTGGCCCCATGACAAGGTTTCACCAATGAACCATAAGTTCAGGCATATAGGATGCCAGGTGTGGGCCTTAAAACATGCACATGCCCTCTGGCTCTTTCTCCTTCCTATGACTGGAATACTGAGATGCTGAGGTCAGCCACAGGGCTTCCACATGCCAGCAAGGAACATGACCTATAGGATGTGGAGAAAGAAGATGGAAAGAACCTGACTGGCAGGTGTTGCTGGGTCACCTACTAATCTGGCATGCTTGTCTTTGATGTTGGCTGGGGGAGAAATAAACATCTTATGTTTCCTCAGATCCACTGGCTATTGGGGCATCTTTGTTACAGCAGTCGTTTCTGGCTGAACCAATACAAGCAACCACTACAGGGAAAATAGGTCTGGGGGTCACAGGGAAAATTTGGCAGTGCCCTGTAAGCATTAGCCCAGTGTTTTGCTTTGTAAAACAGAGCTATTATATGTGTCACGTAATTTACTTGTGCTTATAAATATGTGTTATTTGAAGACTGTTCTAGAATTTCAGTGAATCAAGGGGTTCTAGTAATTTATTAATTCCACAAATATCTACTGATCCCCTAAATTATTTGAAGATGCAGCACACAAAAATTCCCTGCCTACAAGGAGTTTACCTTTTGGCCAGGACAGATGATAAACAATGAACAAATATATAATATATCAAATGGCAGTAAGTGTGGGAGAGAAGAAAGCCTGGTAGTGGGTCAGGGCACACTGGTGGGCATGATGGGAGTGCTTTGTACAGGTATTCAGAGGTGTCTCTGATAGAGAGCATTTGAGCAAGATCCTGAAGTGGAGGAGTGAGTCCTGGACACCTGGGGGAAGAACATTCCAGGCAAAGGAAACAGCATGTGCAAAGGCCCTGCCAACCCATGGAGGAGCACAGCCTATCCATTCAGGGAGCAAGGAGCTACTGTGGCTGGAGCAGTGCTGGGGGGAGGAGGCTGCAGGGAGGCGGGGGCCCACAGCCAGCGTGAGGACTTCAGCTTATGCACTGACATGGGAGCCCCTGGAGGGCTGAGCAGAGGCACCCTACAAGCTACTTGTGCAGAATGAAGCCCGGCTTAGAGGCTGCTCTGTCACCTGTGTGAGGGATGATGGAGACAGAAGTCATGGATATAATCTGGATGTAGAGATAACAGGATTTCCCTGGGTGGGGGGGTGTCAGATGTGAGTGTGAGCAAAAAAAGAGCCAAGGAAGATTCTAGATTTCTCAGATTAGAGGGCAGTGTTGCTTTGCACTGGAGGGAGCAGGTTCATGGGGAGGCAATAGCAGCTCAGTCCTGGATGCACTAGGTTCCATTAGACAAGCCAAGGGCAGGGGCTGGGGTGGAGTTCTTGGGGAGGTCCTTTCTGGAGATAGAAATTTGGGGGAAGTTGGCCTGAAGATGGTGTGTAAGCCATGAGACTTGAGATCACACGTATAGAAAGACATCTCTAGAGGGAGCCGGGGGTCCTGCAATGACCAGAGGTGGGGGTGTGAGTCAGCATAGTGAGTAAGATGTCTTTAAGCAGTGACTTTTTAAAAAAAAAAAATTGTGGTAAAATTTTTATCATATTAAAAATTGCCATTTAGATCATTTTTAAGTATACAAATCATGGCACCGATGGCATTCACAGGGCTGTGTAACCGTCACCACTATTTCCAACACTTTTCATCACCCCCAACGGAAACTCTGTCCCCCTTAGGCAGTAACTCCCATCGCCTCCTTCCCCCAGCCCCGGCAGTCACTAACCTGTCTCTATGGATTTGCCTTTTCTGGACATTCCACACCAATGCAATCAGACAATAGGTGGTCTTTTGTGTATGGCTGCTTTAACCTACCATAATGTTTTCAAGGCTTTGCCATGTGGTAATGGCACCTCATTTCCTTTCAGGGCTAAATAATATTCCATTATATGATATTTTACTTATTCATTCACCTGTTGATATATGCCTGGGTTGTTTCTGCCTTTTTGCTGTTGAGAGTAATGTTATGAATAAGCAGTGACTCTTAATATAGATCTGGGGAGGAGATAAAAGGAGTGAACAGCCCTCCTCAGAAGCCCTTCAGAATCTTGGAGAGGATGTAAGATTTCTTTTCCTTGGTAAAAAGGGACCATGGGCTAAACTGGTTGAAAAACTGGCTTTAAAGGAAACGGAACTAATACTTGTAACCAATATAAGATTGTATATCAACTATACTTCAATTTTTAAAAAGTTTTGAAAAAGGAACTGAAAGAAAAATTTCAGTAAGAAAAATTATATATCAATTATATACAGATGTCCAGAGAGGGTGTCTTTGATGGGGTGACATTTGTGCAAGATCCTGCAGTGAAGGAATGAGTCCTGGGACCCCAGGGGGGTTGTGGGGGAAGCATTCTAGGCAGAGGAAACAGCACATGGCAAGGCCCTGCCGACCACTGGAGAGGAGAACAGCCTGTATGTCCAGGGACTGTGGTTGTTATAAGACCAGCTGCTGCTGTATCTTACTTAATGCGCTAATAAGGGGGACGTGTACTACTCCAACAAATTCGGTTTTATTAACTATTTTGATAACTATATTGCACTAGAATTGTACCGCTTTGTAATCCCACGTTTTATTTTTCACCGTTCTCCTTTGGGTCCATAGGCATCAATGGATGTGCAGAGGGGTCTGTGGTGTAACAGGTCCAGAGCCTGCTACAAGGGCTTGCCTGGCTTCCCCGTCTACCGTCATCCCTGGGACAATCTTGGTCCCAGACGCGAGTCCTCTGGTCATGATCTGCGTAGTGCCGTATCTCACCACCAGGAGGCGCTGCTTCCCCCATGTCAGAGGAAGCCCAGAGGCAGGCTCAGGGCTTCCTCCCTCCCATCTTTGTCCTAACCAGGGCTGGCATCATAAACTGGCAGGTTTTCTCCCTTAAAAAAACTTTAATTATGGGAAGTCTCGAACATGTGCAAAAGTATATGAATCCCCAGGGAGCCATGAGCCAGCTTCAATGATTATTGCCTCACGACCAATCTTGTTTCGTCTTGTTACACCTGCCTGGGGAGGTAAGTGTGCAGACGCCCAGGCCCCGCCCAAGAAGGGGGAAGGAGAGGCTTAGGGCTCACAACACTGCCAGGCCCCTTTGGGAACCACGGTTATGCACGTGGCCCCGCCTCCCGGACACCCCAGGCGACCCAGTGCCAGGCTCCCACAACCTCGGCTCCCCACCGCTGCCATGCTAAGGGATTCTGACCCAAACCCCCTGCTCACACCACACCAATCTCCTCTCACTCAGGCCCCACAGGCCTTGGGCTCGGAACAGCTGGCTCCTGTCCTCGGTAGCCACTCTTCCTGTGTCTATCTGAACGCTGGGATTAAGTAACCCACGCCTCACACCCTTGCGCAACCTCCCACGGCCCCACTCTGCTGGCCGCCCAGTCTTCGTTGCCCCTTCCTGCGGATGGAGAACAGACCCTGGAGTTGATGATTTCTAGGACTTTCAGATGGGAAGAGACTGTTAAGCTGGCTGAACTTGATTCTGAAGTGTCCAGATAAACCAGTGATGGGCTGAGTTGAGTGCCCCCAAAATTCATATGTTGAAGTCTAACCCCCATCACCTCAGAATGTGACCGTATTTGGATATAGGGTCTGTAAAGAGGTAATTAAAAGGGGGTCATTAAGGTGGGCTCTAATCCAATGTCCTTATAGAAAGGGGAAATTTGGGCAGATGGGTACAGAGAGAAGACATGTGGGGACACAGGAGAAGGTGGCCAGCCACCTACAAGCCAAGAGGGGCCTCAGAAGAAACCACTCTGCTGACCCCTTATCTTGAATTTCTAGCTTCCAGAACTGTGAGAAAACAAATTTTATTGTTCAAGCCACCCAGTCTGTGGTAATCTGTAAGAGCAGCCATAGCAGACTTAATACAATGCCCAAATGGATACTATTTGCAAACGACAAACTCCCTCCCTGAATTCTGATGAACCAGTTTCTCACTATGGCCAGAGGCTGCCCTGTGCACAGGACCTGGGCTCTCTATTTGCATGTCCCCCCTGGGCAGCCTGGGGTTCAGCTGCAGGGAGGGTCTGGTCCCACTCAGCCCCACTTGCCCCAATCTTCTGGATGAGTGGGTCCCACCTTTAGCAGGAGCACCTGCTCTGGGCCAGGCCCTCTTGGGAAGTGGGCACCAAGTCCCAAGCCTATGCCAGGTTACAGGTTTGATGTGGGATGACAGAAAGCAAGCAGAAGGTTGTTAAGCAGAAGTGGCTGCACAACATGTGAGGCCTGGTGCAAAATGATAATGTGGCAGAGCCCTTGCTCAGAAATCATTACTGATTTCAATTTGGTGACCACTCAAATGCAGGCCCTGCTAAGTGCAGGGTCCTGTAAACAGGCACACCCAAGAAGCCAGTTCTGCTGTTAGGGAATGGCAGGGGAGCAAAGGTCAGAGTGCCCCAGGCACTGTGACGTCTCTGGGAGCCACTGCCTTATCACAAGAGCCTTCCCACATTTATGGCCAAGGTACACACACGTGCGTGACACAGAGACAGAGGAGAGAGAGAGGCTANAAGCAGGAGGTGAGAAGCACTACTCCCAAGTTTCTGGGTGATCATGAGCTGCCTTAGTGTTCTCCACCAAAGGAAGCCAATAACTCCTGACACCCCACCCATCCCCACATTTCTCAATAGAGTTCCTGGGCTCTGCTGCTTCTATCCCAGGGGCTGGTCCTCAAAGAACAGCAGACCCAGAGAAAACTCAGGCTTGGCTGCCACTGCCAGTTCCCACCCCATATGGACTGTGATATCCTATTAGACACGCGTTTCATTTTCAGTCCCTCAGCCCTCCCTTTCCTTCCTCCTCCATGGGGGGACTGGTAAGAGCTCAGATGGATTCTTTTGATCCCAAGTCAACTCTCTAGAGGCTGTGCCAAGCCAGCTGGCAGTCGTCTGCTGCTCCATGTCCAGTGTCCAAAGAGGCCATGTCCAAGGTCCTGGCACCCCACAACAGCCTCCTTTGCACTGCAGATGTCCGGCTGCAGAGCTGGGGCCCAGACCCAGAGAGGCCCATGACCAGAGAGGCCAGAGGTCCCAGGAGCAGACTGGCTTTGGCCTGCTTTTCCTCCTGCCTCCCCCCAGGAACTGGCACAAGATTCTTCTCCTCTGACAACTGCAAAAGGGGCAACAGTTTGGAGTCTCGAAATCGAGGAGCCCTGAATGATTTTCTGAGCTCAGCTACAAACTAATCAACAAGCCCCATGTGTGATTTTTAAAAAGGGAACATAAGAGGGACTTTTCCTCACATTGTTGGTAGGAATGTGAGCTGGCCACCTTTCTCATTTCCCTTTTTAAAGGTGAGTATGGCTCATCTTGTCATTTCCAGGTACACAGCAAGCAATAACAGTGGAAGAGGAACCTGGCCATGTGGGCCCCTTGCCGTACTCCCCACACCAGGAGGTTGTGCAACCTCTGGCATGTTCATGTGACCGTTGCGCCACACAAATGAAAAACCAGGACAAGACTGACCAGCCATGTTTCTGGAGTCGAGGGCTCCTCTGCGAGGGGCACCATCTGGTGGGTGGATTTTCCTAGGGAGACGCCCTCAGTCCTCTGTGGGGTGTGCCTAAACTCTCTCCCAACACTTGAGCCTCGCTCTCCCCACCCCAAACCCTGAAGGCTCTTGCTCCAGCTTGCTCCGTACTGTCCCTCCTGCCTGCAGAAACCCTACAACCCTGGTTCTGATGGGCTTTTAGGTTGCAGCAGCTCCCGGGGTCACTGCAGCAGAGCTGCAAGCTGCCCGGGTTGACTGAAGAGTAGCTAAGCCACTGAAGGGAAAGGCGATCTTCCTCTAAGCCTCTACTTGGGGCCTCACTCTTTGAATGGGCTGGCTTAAAGCACACTGCTGGCACCAGGAGAGGGCTTAGCATACACAGGAAACCCAGGTTCTGGGCCTGCTCCTCTGTCCTGGCCACGTCTGGTGGGCAGAACCCTGAAGACCTTCCACTCAGAGTTCCTGTCTCCTGATTATTTAAGTAAACGCGAATCTAGGTGTTTCTGTGAGGGGGTTCCGAGGGTGGAATTAAAGGTCTGTTACGGACTGAATGTTTGTCTCCCGACCCCCAAATCCCTAGATTGAAGCCCCAACCCTCAATGTAGTGATATTAGGAAGTGGGGCCTTTGGGAAGTAATTGGGCTTGGAGGAGGTCATATGGATGGAGCCTCATGATGGGACAGGGCCCCTTAAAGAGGAAGAAATACCACAGCTGTTTCTCCTTCTGCCACATAAGGACACAGCAAGAAGGCAGCTGTCCGTAAGCCAGGAAGCAGGCCGTCCCGAGGACCCCAACCAGCCGGCACCTTGATCTTCCAGCCTCCAGAACGGTGAGAAACCGGCGTCTATGATTTAAGCTGCCCAGGCTGTGGTATTTTGTTACACAGCCCAAACTAAGTCAGGTCCCACATTAAGTGGACTTTAAGACACAAAGATTATCCAGGTTGGCCTGACCCCATCAGAAGAACCCTCTAAAAGCATAAATTTTTCTTTGCCTGGTAGCAGAAGGGGAAGTTAGAGAAATCTGAAGAGTGAGGGAGATTCTGTGTGAGGGACATGCGGCCTGGTGATCCAGCCACCTGCTGCATGTCATGGGGGGCCTGTGAACAGGAAGGAAATGCAGGTGGCGGCTAGGATGACGGCCATCTGAACGAGCTGGGGAAGCAGCTGAGCAACAGTCGGTGTGTGAGACCCCGAGCAGGAGACCTGGTTGAGCCATGACAGACTTCTGACCTACAGAAACTGTGCAATAAACGGGTATTGTCTTCTTATAAGCCACCAAGTTTATGTAACTTGTTACACAGTGATAGCAAACTGTAACAGCACATGACCTAAAAGGGGCCACTTAATCTTTCTGAGCCTCCATTGCCTCATCCAGAAAATTCACAGGGCTGTTGTGGATAAGAGGCCATTGGGTGTGCAGACAAAGCCCTGGACTGGGGACCAGAGGGCCAGAATCTGCTACTTGTGCCATGTTGAGCAAGTCATGTCACTTAGACTCATTTTCCTCCCCTCTGCAATCCAGGCAACAGCAGCTATTTCTTCGTAACTGAGTAGTAGCCAGACATATAGCCACTCAACCAGATTACAGTTCCCAGAGCCCCTTGCAACTAGCTGTGGCCCCATGACAAGGTTTCACCAATGAACCATAAGTTCAGGCATATAGGATGCCAGGTGTGGGCCTTAAAACATGCACATGCCCTCTGGCTCTTTCTCCTTCCTATGACTGGAATACTGAGATGCTGAGGTCAGCCACAGGGCTTCCACATGCCAGCAAGGAACATGACCTATAGGATGTGGAGAAAGAAGATGGAAAGAACCTGACTGGCAGGTGTTGCTGGGTCACCTACTAATCTGGCATGCTTGTCTTTGATGTTGGCTGGGGGAGAAATAAACATCTTATGTTTCCTCAGATCCACTGGCTATTGGGGCATCTTTGTTACAGCAGTCGTTTCTGGCTGAACCAATACAAGCAACCACTACAGGGAAAATAGGTCTGGGGGTCACAGGGAAAATTTGGCAGTGCCCTGTAAGCATTAGCCCAGTGTTTTGCTTTGTAAAACAGAGCTATTATATGTGTCACGTAATTTACTTGTGCTTATAAATATGTGTTATTTGAAGACTGTTCTAGAATTTCAGTGAATCAAGGGGTTCTAGTAATTTATTAATTCCACAAATATCTACTGATCCCCTAAATTATTTGAAGATGCAGCACACAAAAATTCCCTGCCTACAAGGAGTTTACCTTTTGGCCAGGACAGATGATAAACAATGAACAAATATATAATATATCAAATGGCAGTAAGTGTGGGAGAGAAGAAAGCCTGGTAGTGGGTCAGGGCACACTGGTGGGCATGATGGGAGTGCTTTGTACAGGTATTCAGAGGTGTCTCTGATAGAGAGCATTTGAGCAAGATCCTGAAGTGGAGGAGTGAGTCCTGGACACCTGGGGGAAGAACATTCCAGGCAAAGGAAACAGCATGTGCAAAGGCCCTGCCAACCCATGGAGGAGCACAGCCTATCCATTCAGGGAGCAAGGAGCTACTGTGGCTGGAGCAGTGCTGGGGGGAGGAGGCTGCAGGGAGGCGGGGGCCCACAGCCAGCGTGAGGACTTCAGCTTATGCACTGACATGGGAGCCCCTGGAGGGCTGAGCAGAGGCACCCTACAAGCTACTTGTGCAGAATGAAGCCCGGCTTAGAGGCTGCTCTGTCACCTGTGTGAGGGATGATGGAGACAGAAGTCATGGATATAATCTGGATGTAGAGATAACAGGATTTCCCTGGGTGGGGGGGTGTCAGATGTGAGTGTGAGCAAAAAAAGAGCCAAGGAAGATTCTAGATTTCTCAGATTAGAGGGCAGTGTTGCTTTGCACTGGAGGGAGCAGGTTCATGGGGAGGCAATAGCAGCTCAGTCCTGGATGCACTAGGTTCCATTAGACAAGCCAAGGGCAGGGGCTGGGGTGGAGTTCTTGGGGAGGTCCTTTCTGGAGATAGAAATTTGGGGGAAGTTGGCCTGAAGATGGTGTGTAAGCCATGAGACTTGAGATCACACGTATAGAAAGACATCTCTAGAGGGAGCCGGGGGTCCTGCAATGACCAGAGGTGGGGGTGTGAGTCAGCATAGTGAGTAAGATGTCTTTAAGCAGTGACTTTTTAAAAAAAAAAAATTGTGGTAAAATTTTTATCATATTAAAAATTGCCATTTAGATCATTTTTAAGTATACAAATCATGGCACCGATGGCATTCACAGGGCTGTGTAACCGTCACCACTATTTCCAACACTTTTCATCACCCCCAACGGAAACTCTGTCCCCCTTAGGCAGTAACTCCCATCGCCTCCTTCCCCCAGCCCCGGCAGTCACTAACCTGTCTCTATGGATTTGCCTTTTCTGGACATTCCACACCAATGCAATCAGACAATAGGTGGTCTTTTGTGTATGGCTGCTTTAACCTACCATAATGTTTTCAAGGCTTTGCCATGTGGTAATGGCACCTCATTTCCTTTCAGGGCTAAATAATATTCCATTATATGATATTTTACTTATTCATTCACCTGTTGATATATGCCTGGGTTGTTTCTGCCTTTTTGCTGTTGAGAGTAATGTTATGAATAAGCAGTGACTCTTAATATAGATCTGGGGAGGAGATAAAAGGAGTGAACAGCCCTCCTCAGAAGCCCTTCAGAATCTTGGAGAGGATGTAAGATTTCTTTTCCTTGGTAAAAAGGGACCATGGGCTAAACTGGTTGAAAAACTGGCTTTAAAGGAAACGGAACTAATACTTGTAACCAATATAAGATTGTATATCAACTATACTTCAATTTTTAAAAAGTTTTGAAAAAGGAACTGAAAGAAAAATTTCAGTAAGAAAAATTATATATCAATTATATACAGATGTCCAGAGAGGGTGTCTTTGATGGGGTGACATTTGTGCAAGATCCTGCAGTGAAGGAATGAGTCCTGGGACCCCAGGGGGGTTGTGGGGGAAGCATTCTAGGCAGAGGAAACAGCACATGGCAAGGCCCTGCCGACCACTGGAGAGGAGAACAGCCTGTATGTCCAGGGACTGTGGTTGTTATAAGACCAGCTGCTGCTGTATCTTACTTAATGCGCTAATAAGGGGGACGTGTACTACTCCAACAAATTCGGTTTTATTAACTATTTTGATAACTATATTGCACTAGAATTGTACCGCTTTGTAATCCCACGTTTTATTTTTCACCGTTCTCCTTTGGGTCCATAGGCATCAATGGATGTGCAGAGGGGTCTGTGGTGTAACAGGTCCAGAGCCTGCTACAAGGGCTTGCCTGGCTTCCCCGTCTACCGTCATCCCTGGGACAATCTTGGTCCCAGACGCGAGTCCTCTGGTCATGATCTGCGTAGTGCCGTATCTCACCACCAGGAGGCGCTGCTTCCCCCATGTCAGAGGAAGCCCAGAGGCAGGCTCAGGGCTTCCTCCCTCCCATCTTTGTCCTAACCAGGGCTGGCATCATAAACTGGCAGGTTTTCTCCCTTAAAAAAACTTTAATTATGGGAAGTCTCGAACATGTGCAAAAGTATATGAATCCCCAGGGAGCCATGAGCCAGCTTCAATGATTATTGCCTCACGACCAATCTTGTTTCGTCTTGTTACACCTGCCTGGGGAGGTAAGTGTGCAGACGCCCAGGCCCCGCCCAAGAAGGGGGAAGGAGAGGCTTAGGGCTCACAACACTGCCAGGCCCCTTTGGGAACCACGGTTATGCACGTGGCCCCGCCTCCCGGACACCCCAGGCGACCCAGTGCCAGGCTCCCACAACCTCGGCTCCCCACCGCTGCCATGCTAAGGGATTCTGACCCAAACCCCCTGCTCACACCACACCAATCTCCTCTCACTCAGGCCCCACAGGCCTTGGGCTCGGAACAGCTGGCTCCTGTCCTCGGTAGCCACTCTTCCTGTGTCTATCTGAACGCTGGGATTAAGTAACCCACGCCTCACACCCTTGCGCAACCTCCCACGGCCCCACTCTGCTGGCCGCCCAGTCTTCGTTGCCCCTTCCTGCGGATGGAGAACAGACCCTGGAGTTGATGATTTCTAGGACTTTCAGATGGGAAGAGACTGTTAAGCTGGCTGAACTTGATTCTGAAGTGTCCAGATAAACCAGTGATGGGCTGAGTTGAGTGCCCCCAAAATTCATATGTTGAAGTCTAACCCCCATCACCTCAGAATGTGACCGTATTTGGATATAGGGTCTGTAAAGAGGTAATTAAAAGGGGGTCATTAAGGTGGGCTCTAATCCAATGTCCTTATAGAAAGGGGAAATTTGGGCAGATGGGTACAGAGAGAAGACATGTGGGGACACAGGAGAAGGTGGCCAGCCACCTACAAGCCAAGAGGGGCCTCAGAAGAAACCACTCTGCTGACCCCTTATCTTGAATTTCTAGCTTCCAGAACTGTGAGAAAACAAATTTTATTGTTCAAGCCACCCAGTCTGTGGTAATCTGTAAGAGCAGCCATAGCAGACTTAATACAATGCCCAAATGGATACTATTTGCAAACGACAAACTCCCTCCCTGAATTCTGATGAACCAGTTTCTCACTATGGCCAGAGGCTGCCCTGTGCACAGGACCTGGGCTCTCTATTTGCATGTCCCCCCTGGGCAGCCTGGGGTTCAGCTGCAGGGAGGGTCTGGTCCCACTCAGCCCCACTTGCCCCAATCTTCTGGATGAGTGGGTCCCACCTTTAGCAGGAGCACCTGCTCTGGGCCAGGCCCTCTTGGGAAGTGGGCACCAAGTCCCAAGCCTATGCCAGGTTACAGGTTTGATGTGGGATGACAGAAAGCAAGCAGAAGGTTGTTAAGCAGAAGTGGCTGCACAACATGTGAGGCCTGGTGCAAAATGATAATGTGGCAGAGCCCTTGCTCAGAAATCATTACTGATTTCAATTTGGTGACCACTCAAATGCAGGCCCTGCTAAGTGCAGGGTCCTGTAAACGGGCACACCCAAGAAGCCAGTTCTGCTGTTAGGGAATGGCAGGGGAGCAAAGGTCAGAGTGCCCCAGGCACTGTGACGTCTCTGGGAGCCACTGCCTTATCACAAGAGCCTTCCCACATTTATGGCCAAGGTACACACACGTGCGTGACACAGAGACAGAGGAGAGAGAGAGGCTACTGTCATGTATAAAGATAACAGAATACAGACTATATATCTGCTCCAAAGACTGCTGGAATCAACAGCCACAAATACTTCAGTTTTATGCAAAGAGCTGAGCTGAAGCAAAGTCTGCCGTTTCTGTTTCCTAACTTACTGCACAGAAACCTCTACAGGCGAATGTTATCTGAAAAGGACCATTTTTCCTTTTTTTTTTTTATTGAACTATTGTTGATATACAATCTTATGTTGGTTTCAAATATTACAACACAGTGGTTCAACAGTTACCCAGATAATTAAATCCTCACCTCTACTAGTGCAGTTAGTATCTGGAGAAGGACCAGTTTTCTTGTTTCTGTGTTTTTAGCATAGCTAAAAGCAAAGCCAGACAGGGAAAGAGATTGCTTGCAAATGATTTTACCTGCACTTGAATTAACAGACTAGTTAGATCATAATCCAAGAGTGTGGTCCCTTTAATTTGCAAGTGCAAGACCCTGAATCAGTTGGTGGGAGAAGGCAAACATTCTTTACTTCTGCCTAAAACTGGGAAAAATGCGAAGACTTCAGCTCAGAAGCAAAACCGAATGTTGCCTCAGTCAAAGCTCCCGGTAGGGATCTGAGCGCTGGTCTGTCACTGCAGCCGGCATTCCAGCCATTCCTTCAGCCCCACTTCAGCCCACGTCTGGCTCCACGGCCCGGGGAGCAGAGGGGAATTTGTGGTCAAGTGGGCACAGGCGTGGTCAATCCATGTGCATTAAAGGGGCCCACTCTGAAGCGAGCCCTCCGGTTCCCACAGGAAGCTGCTTTGCTGGAGAGAGCCTGGCTGCCTGCGCTAGTTTCCGGCAGTAAGAAAGGACTGCCTTGGACTGGAGGAGGGCCTGCCAGCTGGAGTGTGTCAGGGCCAAGGTGAGACTCCAAATCCCAGAAGACATCTCCGAGAGGCCTTTGGAATTTCATCAAGTGTTTAGAATGGCAACAGGCTCCTCTCCCCTCCAGCGCTAGGAAGCATGACAGGCAACATGAGCATGAGGTCCAGGCAGGGGAGGTTCCCTGGGTGGGGCTGGAAGGGGGGCAGCGGGAGACATGTAGACACTGGGGGTCACCATAGGGGCTGTCCTTGGTCTGTGTCAAAAGTGCCAGTGACCCCATCACCTCATGGACTCCGGAGGCTTGTCTTAGTCCACGGAGCCGGTGGTGTTTGGATTCACCTCTCAGACTTGGGAAATTCCTACAAGCACAGGATGGGAGAACAATGGAAACAAATCAGTGGGGCAGAGAACCTGAGTCTCCATGGCTCAATGTCAAAGCACAGACACCAATGGGAGACAAGCAAGGACCGAAGGCTGGCATAGGGGGCCGTGTCAAAGCACAGGGCCTGCTAATGGGCTACACGCCAGGCTCCCTGGAGGCCACGGGTATGTGTCTTGTGGTCCAAGATGTGGAGAAGCCAACGTGGCGTCTTCCCTCTCTGTCCTCTGGCTTGGGTGCTGTTCCTGTTGCCATGTAATCAAGCCAGTGTCACTGTTCACTGGACCCAGAGTTGGTGTCTGCAGGCGGAGCTGTTGGTACCCAGAGAACTGGGTGCGCTGCTCCACTGAGGTCCCTTGGGGGAACCTTTCCCGCTGAGCTCCCTCAGGGGAATCTTTCTCATCAGCCACTGCAGCAGAAAACTCCACCGACTCTTCATTCCCTCCGACATCCTGGGCCTGACTTCAGCTGAAAAGAAACCTTCTCCCCAAGGCAGATGCATGGAATGCCCACCCAGGTACATTCTCCAAAGCTAATGACTGCATTTGAAATATGCCTCACGGCGGGAGAGAGAGTGTCCGTGTGTTCACACTCAAGCCCTCTGTAAAGCAGGTCCACAGGCTCCTGAGTCCACCCTAGGGCCGTCTCTTACGACAAGAGCCTGTGGTTAAGAGAACAGAGGCTCTGGCCAGTCTACTTGGGCTCAAAACCTGGGCCCCCTTTCTACCAACTGCATCCTTAGTTACTTCTGCTCTTGGTACTTCTGTGTTCTTCTCTGTAAGATGAGAATAACATGAGACTCTTGCTCGCAAGATAATACATTTCAAAGGCTTCAAACTGGGCTTCATACCTAACTGCTGATTATTGTTATTCCTATATAACGTGTTGCAGCCAGAAACGGCCCATGCCCCAGCCTGTGCGCCTTTCCACATCTGTGAGCCCAAGACCACGCTAGGGCCTCGAGCTCGCTTCCCGGCAGCCCTTACCCACCGACATGGCAGAGCAGAGCTTCCGACGCCCTGGTCCTGGCGTCCTGCACTGGCTGAGTCTCGCCCGTCTCTTCCCTTGGGCCCACCAACGTGCGGCACTTCTAGGGCAGTATACTTGCTGATTGCTTCCCCACTATTACTCACAACAACCAGCTAAGACACTGCCAAAGAAACACGCACAGCTGGCCCCGCCGATGACTCAGGGGGCAGGCCTGCCTGCCTCTCCCTGCGACCTGTGGATAGGAAGACATGGGGGAGGAAGACAGGATGGAGGAGAAAGCCGAGCCGGGCAACAGACTCCAACAGGGCTGGCCACGGCTCACTGACACAGAGGGAAAGACAAGTCAGTACTTCCCTGGAAGAGAAAGTTAGAAAATGACAGCAGTTTAAAACTTGCTTGCCTCCATGAAAAGGAAGCAAGGCCATAAACTACACTGGCCACCCCCCGCCCCATGCCCCCCGACCTTGGGCACCATTCAGAGGGTGCATTAGTCAGAGTTCTGCCAGAGAAACAGAAGCAGGAGATACAGGTTAAGGGACTCACCCCCATCAAGGAACTGGCTCGCCTGAGTGTGGGGCTCGCTCAGCAGGGCTGCAGCTGTAGGGCAGCCTGGTGGGCTGGGAAGTCTCAGGCAGGCGCTGACGCTGCAGTCCACAGGTGGAACTTCTTCCTTGGGAAAACCCCAGCTTTGCCCTGACGGCCTCTCAACTGATTGGATGAGGCCCACCCACGCAGAGGATAATGTTCACTTAAGCCAACGGATAGTGGATGTTCCGCCAAATGCCGTCACAGCTCCCCCTAGACTAGCATTGGGTTGGGTTACTGGCTCTTACAGCCCTGCCAGGCTGGCCTCTCAAACTCTCCACCACAGAGGCTGCTTGAACGTTTAGCTGCTGGCCACCAACGAACAGTTCCTCTACCGTGTGGGTGTGGGGACACGCAGAGGTAGTCCTGAGAGGGTCAGTATGACCTCTACTCCAGCAAGGAAGATCCCAAAAACCCGAGTTCCAGGCAAGGTTGTGCGGAGGAAAGCAGCTCATGAGCCAGCAGGGTCCCTCTGCCCGGGCAGAGAGAGCCCCTCCGAGGCCTTCCCACACACTCACCAGGACGTGGGGTGGAGAGCTCATCCTCTCCTGGCTACTAACTGTCCAGTGGGCATTTGCACTTACCTTAGTCCTCTGCCACCAAACAGGTGAACCTGAAATGCTCAGCCTAAAAAGCAAGCTAGACTAGACTTAAATTACGATGTTTTACTGTGGAAAAAAAGCCTCCAATATGTCCAATTTTGTCCCAAAGGAAGTCCCAGCAGAGCATGTTTATCAGGTTAGGAATCACCTGGGCGGTTGGTAAATGTGGATTCCCAGCTCCACACGGAGGTTCAGATCCGGCTGGGGGGAAGCAGCGTGCTGAGAATGAGTCACGGTTTTGCATCACACACTCCCCTGCCCTCCAGGCTTTGAAGGGAATCTGAGGATGTCTAACACCAGCCACCAGTGTCCTCCCAAATTTCACAATGATGTTGAAAGCTGGAGGGAGTTTTTCTAGTCTTGCATTGATCTCATCTAAAATACCTAACCTGGCAGCAGAAGGCGATGGAGGCTCAAAGGAACTCAAGACACCTGCCTAGATCTGCAGGTGACTTCTGTCCAGGGGTGGAGAGAACCCTGCCTTAACAGCGGCGGGTCTCAGGGATGAGGCCAAATAAAGACCAATTTGGATGTTCAGCCTCAAAAATTACCATCAGGTCTGTGTCTACTGGAGCCAGTTTTTTCCTAGTAGTGTAGCTACCACCCTCATTTCTCCCGAATTTCAGGGGCCACCTGCACCTGCCCTGGAGAAAAAACTCCAGCAAGTCTCTGGTAGGTGATGGTGCACAGCTGTCCCTCTGCTGATCCCACGGTGTCCTCGGGCAAGTGGTGGGTGCACCCGCTGGCTCCTGGGGGCTGCCAGGCAGAAGCCTGTTGTCTCTGCCTTTGCTAAGCGGGGAGACTTGGCCATCTAATGCCTGTTAATATTTAGGACGCCTTTATTTCCTCCTGTTCTCATCCTTATGGATGGCGCCTTGAGCAGCCACCTCTGGGAGGCAGCAGGTTCATGGAGGAAGAAAAGTCTAAATGCCTGACAACCACCAGCCTGGATGCTTATTGGTAAGAGGGCCCCCCTGGGAAGTGAAAGACTGAGCAGACATATGATTGTGTAAAACTTCCCTTGCATTAATAACTGAGTACAAAATACATGTATTTTAGGACCCACTGTTATTGTCTTACCCTAGTTGGAAATCTGAATAAATTTAAATTTCCTGATGTAGCGGATGTTGGTTCCCAACCCCCACCCTCTCTTCTGGGCTCACTGGCCCTGATGTGATTCAGGCAACTGCCCTCCCCTCCCTATTTACCCTCTTCCAAAATTCCTCCACAATAACCCCTCCCCTTGCCACTGACTGGTTGGGGCTGAGCATGAGGCATAATTCTGGCCAATGAGGTGTGTGGGAAAGTCAGCCAGGGGCTTTGGGAAAGGCTCCTCCCGCCTAACAGGAGACCCCGAGGAGGAGCCTGATGGGAAGGGTGCTGGCAGGAGACATGTGGGGTAAGTGGAGAAAGGCAGAGCAGAAACACCGATGGAACCTAACTCCTGTTCATCGCTGGGCCATCATGAAGATGCCTGACCTCTGGACTTACATTTTATAAAAATTTTAAGGCTCTGATAAAGTCATTTTGAGTAGCAGTTTTCTCTTACTTACAGAGGACGGAATCTCACTGATATATTGCATAATCTAAGCAATTTGGGTTACAAATTACCTTGGAATTAAAAAAAAAGCAAACCATTTAATAAAAAACATCATCTCCATCACACAAAGTTCAACAGCAGAAACAGCTTCCCTGTCCTCTCCCTGCAAGGTCTGACGGACAAGTGCAGCTTTAGGCAGCCCTGTACCTGCTCTTAGCCTTTCGCTTCCCAGGGAGGCTCTTCCCAGTGGGCATCCGGGTGATGTCCCATAATGGTCCCAGGCAGGACAGAACAGCAAAGGCTCAAGGGGAGATGGTCAATACATTTTCAGTGACACCAAATGGGACAAAACCAGCCCTGGTTTCAGGTGGGGTGGGGGTGGGGGATCCTAGGTTTGCTCTTCAGACTCGAGCTCCTTCCCTTCCTATCCTCCTCGAGCCAGAAATCCCCCAAAAGACTGTCTAAGGGAACATTCCCCGCCTAAATACGGTGGGAGTGAGAATGCTGGAGGCTGGCTTTACAAGTCTAGTCTTAACAGGAGAGGTGATTTCAGAACTTCAAACCATTTCAAAATAGAATCCAGGCCAAGGGGCTGTAATATAAATTTGGGTTTCAGAAGAAGCCCAGCACCCCCCGAGGGTCTCTGAGTTGGGTTGAGGACACTGCCTGGACAAAGCCAAGCCCCTGCCCTGGAGTAAAGGCAAACAGCCCACCTGCCACGATGAAGCCTTTGCAGGCTTTCCATTTGCAGTCAGCAAACACATCTGACCGTTTCTGGACCGTGCCTTCCTAATTTGCCACTAAGCATCCAACTTGCCAGGCTCCGTAAGAAATTTACTCTTCAGAACAAAGGACTAGAAAACCAGAAATGCTTTGCTGATGCCAAGGCGAGATTTCCTACACATGAACCACAATGAATCCTCTCCAAATTCATGATTTTCCCTGCTGATGCCAAAGGTCTTTTTCTCACATTGGAAGTGTTCCCTGAGGTGGACAGTGAACTAAACTAGCAGAAAAAACAAAAAGGAGGATTACCTGTGGGCTGAGGAGGGACGGGGATCGGACCTTCGGCCAGGGCCCCGCAGCCGCAGGCTGCTCTGCCTGTCTGACCTGTCTGCTTGCTGCTGCCTTGGGCCTGGCATGGCCGCCAGGGGCTGGGCCCCCCGTGGGTGTGCATTCACCTGCGGAGAGGTGCGGGCACACAGGTCCCTCCCCTCTCTGCTCCCACTGCGCCGCCCCCAGCCAATCAGGCCTGGGAACATCCCTCCTGAGCTATCTGGATTCTAACCTAAAGCTGGGGCAGAGAAAGGACAAAAGGGAAGAGGAAGGAGGGAAGGGGAGAGAGGAAAAACCCAGCTCCCACACCCACCAGCAGACCCTGGTGATGGAGCCGGGTGGGACCCAGGGCCTGGGCAAGGCCGTCACGGTGATCGGCAGGGTCAAATTCCAGGGCAGCCCTTCCCCTCTGGGTGGCTATTTTAGGAAGGCAGCTTTCCTCCAGCAGTCGGGAGACTGGCTACTGCAGACACTGGAATCCGGAAGACTCAGAGCTCTGCCAGGCCCCAGCGCAGGTAGAGACAGGAGAACAGCCCCAGAAGCAAGGGGCAGGTTAACAGACACCCCGAAACTCCTCTCTGAGCACTCATAGGCCCACCCAGCCCCGCAATATAAGGACTGCCGAGCACCTGTGAGTACTGCCTGGTTTGTAGGAGGAGGTCCAGGCTTGATGTCTCAACCAGGGTGCTGACAGGCACAGCTGGAGGGGCTGATGGCATCAGGTTCAGCAACAACAGTCTATTTTCCCGACATCGGGATGAAGAGCCGTTAGCAGCCAAATCTAGCTTCTCTCCCTCTCCAATCTTTGGCCCCTGATGTCCATCAGTAGTGAGCATGGTGGCTCACAACACAGGCTGAGGGTAAGGTCACAGGCAGTGGCCCAGGGCACCCCACCCACGTGTAGTCGCATGCTTTGGGGTCACCAGTTAAGCTGAGCAGAAACAGTAGTGCCCAAGAGGAGAGCTGTGGGCACCCTGAGATCTTTTGATAACTAGGGTTTTCAAGTACAAGGCAGACGCTGAGATATGTAGCTCCTACTAGGAAACCAGAATCCATCTCCTAAGGAGACAGAGAGGTAGGGAAAGGAGCCCAGGAGACGACCAGTGGTGTGGGATTCAGACAGATCCTAACCTCCTTCCTCCTGCGCTACAGCCTGACTCACCAAAGGCAGAAGGGGAGGGTTGCCTGGACCAGGCGTGGCCTCCGACCTCAGGGCAACACTGTGCTTTGTGAAGTCCCATCGCAGAACGCAGAACCGGTAGCTCCCTCTGGGGCCCCAAGAGAGGCCAGCAAAGAGGCCTCCTCCTCCTCCTGGCTCTCAAACAGCAAGCCCTGCATCACAGGCCTCAGAAAACCCCCAAGCAACAGCCAACTTCAGACCGCCCTGGCCTCGGATCATCTGCTAGTCCCTGGGCTAAGACCCAAACTGATGGGAGAGAAATGCTTAGAGATCTCAGACAACGGTGCTTCAGATGTGTTCACAACAACAGCAGCAGCAGGAGCTCCCGGTGCCCTTAAATACTTCGGGGAAGCGTTTATCATGCAGAGCTGTACGAAAAGTGGGGGGCTTCTGCCTCCGATTCAGTAGACAAGAATCTTTGAAATTTACATACAGAGTCCCAGGATAAGTCATCCGGGATCCCCCAGGGCAGGAGGGCTGCCTGAGGTCAGAGCTGGGTGAGTCAACAAAACAAATGAGCCTGGTGAGGTCAGCTTTCTGGAAAAGGAACAAAGAAAACTGCACCCAAGCTCGAGGCAGCTTCCGATGCCAGAGCAGTGCTTCTGAGCCCTCGAACCCGGTGGTTCTCAGTGGGGGACAGGGGACGTCTGCCAATGTCTGGAGACACTTTTGGTTGCCACAACGGGGAGCTAGGGGTGCTGCTGGCATTTAGTGGGTAAAGGCCAGGATGCTGCTGAATATCCAGCAGTGCACAGGACAGTCCCACAGCAAGGAGTCACCCCACCACCAGTTCAATGGTACTAGGACTGAGAATGGCTTTAATACAATGAAAAATATTTTTCTTTCTTCTAAGTCCTGGGAAAATGGTCCCCTTTAGTCACTGGACGTGTCCCTCGGCCTGGTGGGGCCCTGGTGGGGACAACCTCCTACCTGTGGTGAGGCCAGGTGATCAAGGGGTTGGTATCTCTGGAGGAGCCTGGGGAACAGACCCCAGCTTGAGTAAGCTGCTGCTCCAGGCCTCCATTGGCCTCCGGCCAAGGGTTCCAAGCCCCAGAACCCACCCCTGCCGCTCAACTGTGAAGAGCTCCGAGTGACACTATGGAGAGAGAGTGATGACATTCCATCACAGCCTCGCCCAAGGCAGGTGCTTCTAGGTGTCAGTGACCTTCACCCACTTTGTCTCACCTGAATGAATAGGAGCCTGGCCCAGGAGGCAGTCTTTCTTCTCTCTGACCTGCCAGGCCAGTGAATCATACAGAGGCCACACATCCTAGAGCATGGAAGTTGGGAGAGGAGAGCCAGGTATAGGCAGGCATGGAGGGAAGCTGAGAGCTGGTCCAGCAACTCCACCCCAGGCCCCCAGAGCAAGCTGAGTGTGGGGGCTCCTGAGCAATAGACTCGAAGAGTCCCTCCTGCCTGGTGAGGCCCCAGGGCCCAGAGCGGAGCCAATGGCAGCAGCCTGTGGGGTCTGCCCTAGCTGCTGCCTGCAGATCCCTGCAACCGAAGAGACTAAGGCTCTGGAAATATAAGGAGCACAGCACATTCCTGCAGTTTTGTCTGGTTTGTCGTAAGGCTCAGCGAACAGTCAATAGAAACCACCCTAGAGCTAGGTGGACAGGAAGAACACATACCCAGGGCTGAGAGTGGCTGCCCTGGGAAGCTGGGCAGAGAGGCAGGCCAGAAATGAGTTTAACCAATTAACATCATCGACCTCTGGATTGCTTGACTTCTCATGAGCATTATTACTAATTTTATAATTTCAAAAGAACATTTTTAAAAAGCATGCAAGCAGAATATCTGGTTACCAGGCCCAGTTCCCGGTGAGTACACCTACCTGCTCAGGAAACTCTCCCCTGAAGTCTTGCACTGATCCCCGGGGTCAGACCACAAAAACCTGCCCCCAGTGAGACTCTGCAAAGGCCAGAGAGAAAGGGCAGAGGCACAGGGAAAGCCCCCTCACCAGCCCATCTCAGGAAACGAGAACAAGCCCACACTCTGGGCCAGGAACCCAAGGTGGGTGGGAAGCTGCAGTCTGACACCCCCATGGCCTCCTGCCCACCCACCCTGAGCAGGTGGCCGTCACCACCGATGGCGCCCTCAGACCCAGACAAGGTTCGGACCATGAAGATCACGAAATGAGGAAAGTCATGCAAGGCTGAAACGTGCCCCACCACACACACACACACACACACACACACACGCCATGGCACCTTGAAGCTTAGTGCCTTCTTCCACCCAGCCTGCTCTCAACTGGAACAGGCACAGCCACTTAACTGCCATGCTGACCATCATCACACCCCACTTCTGGACCCTCAGAACCCAAGATCTGGTTCCCACTTACTATCCTGCCTCAGCCTCAGGCTTGAGCTCAGCACTATTGCTACTATTACTTCTTGCTTCTCCCCACCACGAGAATTCTGGGTGCCCTCCGATGGATATTCCCACAGCCTGGTGCACAACTCACAACATGTGTGCCCAGGAGCTTTGGCCTTCCCTGGTTCCCATCCTGCAAGAGGGACCCAGACACCCAGAGACAGGGCTGAACTGGGTACGCAGGGGCTGACCCCACAGAACAACTCACATTTCAGACTTTCTCATGGGCATCCACTTTCTCTGAAGGAGACTGGGCAGGGGTGGCAGCAGAGGGGAGACCTCACTGAGACGGCGGGCCAGGGCCGTCCGCCCACAGACACGGGCTCCCCTGCCCCAGGGCCTTGTGGGCACTGTTCTCCCAAGCTGCCTTCCTGCGGGCCTTGCCAAGTAACCACAGCTTGCCCATCACACCTCGGTCAGCCCGCCCCAGGGTAGGCAAGCTCCCCCCAACCCCCACTGTGGGCTCCCAGTCCCACCGCAAGCCCCACCCTGTCCTGGTCGTCCTCCTTGCTACTCAGGGTGAACTTCCTGTTCGTATTCTCAGCGCCTGGCACAGCAGACAGGACATGGCGGGAGCCAATTAAGGCCTGTGGAAAGAGCAAGGACAGGAGGGGAAAGCAGACAGACGGACCAGCCGGCCAGCCTGCGCTCAGAGAAGGAACCCCAGGCTCCCATCCTCGCTGGCTCCACAGCCTGGCTGAGCCGCAGGGCGGGCCGTCTGCGCCAAACACGCACAGCGCAGGTGAGGCAGCAGATGGGAAAGTGGTTTGAAAACTGTAAATGTCGGGAATTCCGCTTACGTTTTAGACTCACTTGAGCACACCTAATTTCTAAGTTAACAGTGATTCAGACTTTTCATTAAGTTTATTTGTAAGGAGGGTGTTTGAAACCAGGGAACGCCATGCCCCACACCGTAAGTGTATGCAGGCAAACAGACCCTGCCTGGGACGTCCGGTTAGCCTCGTGCTGGTGCTCGGAGCAGACCTCAAGTGTCGGGAAGCCCCTCAAGTGCCCTCTGCAGGGCAGGGTCACACCTCACTCCACTTCACTTGTGCATCCCTGGCACGCAGCACGGTGTGGGGGGCCGGGACAGATACCTGGTTGCTCAGTGGATGAGTAACATAGCAGCAGCCATGACATCAGGAGGGGCCCCACTGTGCACCAGGCACAGTTCTAAGCCCTTCAGCTGCGTCACTCACTGTCATGGGCCAAGCAATGACCCTCAAAGGGTGTCCACACCAAACCCCTGGAAACTGTGAATGTGACTGTATTTGCAGATGTATGTTTAAGGATCTTGAGATGAGATCACCCCACATTATCTGGGCGGGCTTTAAGTCCAATGACAAGAGTCCTTGTAAATTGAGGCAGAAGAGATTGAAGAAAAAGAAGAGGGGACAGACACACAGAGAAGGGCTGTGGAGACAGAGGCAGAGGTTGGAGAGAGGGGGCCACAAGTCCAAGGTGGCCCTGAGAAGCTGAGACAGGCCAGGAAGGATCTTCCCCAGAGCCTCCGGAGGCAGGGCACACCTGCTGGCTCCCAGACTTCTAGCCTCCAGAATTGTGAGTGAATTCATTGCTGTTGTTTTAAGCCACCAAGTTTGTGGCAATTTGTTACTGCAGCCACAGGACACTAACATACTCCTGGAGTCATCAATTAACTCATTAAACGACTGTGACGGTGGTGGGTGGGGTAGGAATGAGGTGCCTGAGCTGTCCCACGCTCCCTTCATCAGGACACACTGTTACCCTCAATACCCCCAATATTGTGTCTGTGAATACTCTCATTTTCTGTTAATCAACACTCCCCTTGGATAAACATAGTCACCCAACTTTACAGCTAGCTGAAGTTCAAAATCAAGTAAATGCCTGACTGATACTAAACAAAAACAATGAATCAAAGCAACGCTTTGTTTTCAAACTACACCCGCCCCCTTATTCTGATATCG